TATACGACCAAAAAATTTATTGTACGACCAAAAAATTTAATATACGAACAGAAAAATTTATTATACGACCAAAAAAATTATACAAAATATGTCAAAACGTTTAAATGATGTTATTAAGCAAAAATATTAATTTTTAATAAGATGCTATTTTTTTCCTTCGTATCCTTCCTTATATGAAAAAAACCCAATATTAATGACGGCATGTCTTTGAAGTTGTTGGAGTTATTGAATTTTCTTCTCTATTGGAATAATATTTTCTTTTTCTTTAATATGTACTCCCTTGTAGTACAAAATAGTAAATGTTCGGGCAATGGACTAGGTTTAAGAAGCATTTACTTTTTGTCGAGCGAAAAAATCCAATATTAATGAGGCTCACAGTATATGCGGTTAGAAGAAATTTCAACATTTTCTCAGCTAATAAGTGCTAGTAATCGGTTACTTAAAATAGCGATCAAATAGAAATACGTAAGAAGATTATAATTTTTTTCGCCACCGAATTGTCTATGTCATCTTAGCTGTAGTTTCATACTCTATAGTATTGGATGGACGTGACCAATATTTTTCGTTTTTATAGAATATATGTGGAAATTTTTATATTTAGTGTGATGCAGTGTATGAGTAATGGGCAAAAAACCCAACCTACCCAACCCAAACCCAAGTTATGTTGCGCCGTAGGCATCTCTTTTGGCCCATATTCAATAGCAAGCTGCGTGGAAACTTCCAACCTTTCTGCCATATTTGATCCATTCCGAATTCGATGCTATCAAGAGTATATATGCTTTACGGTGTCTCTGAAGCTTGATTCTTGGTGATGCAACAATTTTAACAAAATGATGATAAGCCCACTCTTCGATCACGGGATTGGTACAAGTACAATCCCGTTAATCTGAACAATTGCTTAGCTCTGAATTAGGAGGTAATGTCAAGTACCTGATTTGCAAACATTTTTTGGATGGAAGAAAGGGGTATAGAGCAATAATACTCCAGAAAGTTTTTAAGCATATATTAAAGTATTAAATAAAAACTCTTTTGAAAGGTACCAAAAGAAAGTAACAAAGGATTCCTCATCCTCGCGAGGTATCTTTAATTGAAAGAATTCAGCGGAAAGCGGTGAAACCGATTCAAATTCTTACCTAAAGAAAACCACTTCATTTGCACGCCTACAGCTAATGAATCATACAAACTATTCAAAAAATTGTTTTTTGTGTGGCTGACGATTATTTTAATAAAAAAGTATAATTTTTTTGTTTAAATTAAAGATGCCGGAAATGCCCACGATTCATTAGGGCATGTCATTTTTCTCGACAGTGCAAAAAGCGTTTTTCAAAGGAAAAACATTATATGCTAGCTGTAGCTTTGAAAAATTGGTTCGAGAAAAACGCATCCAAAGTATTATATTAAGTACCCGCACTAGTACAGTACTATAGAACTACGCTCAGAAACACAAAATTTTCTCATGAGCACAATCGTTTTTTGCATTATGCACGCGTTTCGCAAGCAAACATTAGAAGATAGCCGCAGGCAACGGCTGCATATCTGGTTAGAGATAAAGTGGATTGTAAACGTTTCTCTGAAAAAAGTTATTTTTTGGAATTTTAGGATAAAAATTGTGGACCAAGAGAGGGGTTTAAATTTCCTCATTTATTAATAGGAGTCGGTAAAGCACTTGTTACTTCGTATACACCCAACTATTTTTTGTTCGAAAAATACAACAACTTTTTTTTACTTCTAATTTTGACAGTGTGTCGCAGAAACTTGTGGATGCAGCAACAAAGTATAATTGAGGGGATATTGTGACTAGAAGTCAGTCGGTTTATGCTCCTACATGTCTTGATAAGTTAGTCTTCTATTACTAATTGGCCGTTAATAACGAACCAAATTTTTCGTTTGGATCAAACCTGTTTTGTGCTAGAGATATTCGAGCTATCTGTTGATCATAGCGTCTTCTTTGAGTTATTCATCGCATTAAAACCTCTTGACAAATTCAAAAGTAGAGGAAAATTAAACTCATCAAATTATTAAACTCTACAAATGATTTGAGAGAAGAAAAAAAACTATATTTCTCTTAGTTGTCGCTTAATACTAATAATTGTAAGGATTAACTAGCTTGGTACAAATGATTCTCGTATATTTATGCATCTTGTTCTATTCGGTCGTATAGTATACTTTTTGGTCGTATAGTATACTTTTCGGTCGTATATTAAATCATGTTCTTAGGATTCAATAATACAAATTCCATACAACTGAGAAAATAAAAATTCCATACAACTGAGAATGTTTGAATACGTTTGTTTACAATTCTCACTCATTTTGCATGTATTGTACGTCTTCGGTTCAGTTCATAATAAACATGCGCGCTTGTTATCAAGTAACAAGCGAATTTTTACTGTACACTAATTTTAATTTGTTTTTGTAATAAAAGTGAATGAATTTTGTTTCATAAATATATAATACGGTTTTCATTATTCTTTTTTTTGCACGGTTTTCGGTTTTTTGAAAATATATATTGAGTTTTTTCGTTTTGTATGATTTTTTAATGTTGTCGAAAATATCACCAAATTTACCGTATGTCGCATGTATATTTTTACATGATTTTTTGCACGGATTTTTACGGAAAGCACCTACCATGTAAAAAAAGAATTGGATGTATATTACTTCAGAACTTTGTTCTTGTTTGAAGCAGAAACTACCTCAACATAAAATGAATTGGTCCATAGAAAGTGAGGCGATTATTGTGATAAAAGTCATCATATGTACACCGCTTCAAACCAAATCATTTTTAAAGGCGATGGTGAAACTAAGCGTACGTAAGAAAACAACTGTACAGGCTTTGCATTTCGTTGCACTTTACGGGTTTGTTTTAAAACCCCCGGCGTTACGTTGCAAAATTAGCAGCGAACAAATGGTTTGCTCGTTTCTATTCTACGTTTCTATGTTAAAAAGGCGCAAGAGTTTTGATAGTCTAATCGTTGATGAAGTCAACAAAGTGCTTCGAAAAAATTGAGGAGAGCTAGTAAGTTCGATCTTATGACATCGCTCTCCAGAGCGATGATACGATCGATCAAAAAAAAAAAATATTTAACAATTTGTGTTGTGCTTGTAGCTGGATACAAAAAGAATTCTTATATTATGGTACCATACGAACTAATAATGAAAAATTTAACGGATAGAATTCCGCGTATCTAGCAACTTCTAGCAACTAATCAGCTAATGAGGCAAAGCGACCAGCACTGTTTTGACGGTGTAAAGCTAGAATCTAAAAAGGCCTCTGGGAATCATTCGATTCGGTTTTATGTCCTTAAATTCCAGAAGTTTCACAGTGATAAAAGTAATCGTTTCACGAGGAAATTAGCAAAGAATCGATCGAAGTTCATTTAGAATTATAAGGGAAAGCTCTTTAAATTTCGATAAAAAAAAACATCACAAACGTAATATAAATAAGCATTTGATAGTTTACGATGAGGGACCATGGACAAAGGCAAAAAATGCTTAACGTTCGAAACCGATCTGAAAAAGAGTTTCTGAACTTGATGACCGGGTCCCTTCTTTTAAATAAAATATTGTAATATATTTTAATAGATTTGTTTTAGAACATTCCAAATACTCTTTATAAAGCAAATATAAATACCTGTTTCGGTGCGCGACAATCTCACTGGCGGCGATGTTGTTTCTGATCGTGCTGTGAAAGCTACTGGTGACGTTTGCAAGGACGTTTCAAGTGATGCTAAAGCATGCGTGGATGGCGATAGCAATGCCAGGAACCATAGACCCATTAGAACCATATTCAATATTGTCGCGTTTGTCAATCGTTGATGCAAAATTTGCGTACCGAGCGTCGCTGGTGACCGCTTTCGTCGTGGACGCTGCAAGTGATAACATTTCGTATCTACTTTTAGTAATTTTTGCTTTGCAAACTTTTGATTGAAGCCAAAGCATGCTAACGATATAATCGAGGAATTTAAATGCTTCAGCATTTCAGAAAGAGCATTTATTCGGAATTGGCTACATGTAGTAGTGATGTTTTGCCTCTCGTCTAAAAAAATTATTTTCTTTAATGTGGATTTAGATGACGACGATAAATCGTGGCCAAATGGCTTTTTATGCTTGATTTGGAGTGAATGATTTTCTTTAGAGCCACATTCGATGGATAACGGCCTGGATAATAGAGTCAATGGTGATGATGTTCGCGACGAAAGTAGAGGACAGGTGGAATAATGGAAAGTTTGAGGGGCAGGTTGCATGAAATTTGTCTTGTTCGCTGTAACACCTGAACACGGATGATTCCAAGGACTGTTCCTTTCTTGATGCTGCTCATCTGCTTCAGTACTTGTTTCGATTTGGCTTAATTCATACGATAATGATTTTCTACGGCAGTTATGTTTACATGAGCAATTCATTTGTTTTGCTTTGGACATGTTGCAATATGTATGCCTGTTCTTAGCAGTAAAAATACCATGGTGTTGTTGCTGTTGTTGTTTTTTCTGCTGTTTGGGATATTTACAGGTTATTGATCCGCACATGTTACAAGGATTAACGGTCCGTTTACAGTACAGTGATGTATCGTTACTCATTGTTTGCTCATCAATAACAGTTAATTCGGATTTTATTTGTGATGGAAACTTTATGACTGACGTTTGATTCGTGGCGTTGATTTCGTATTCATTATTGACTCCGGTAGTGATCGTCTCGTCGGTTTTATTCATTTTAAAACGTTTATACAAATATAATTTACGTTTCTTTACCATTAAGTTATTAACTACTGGTCCAATATCAATGTCCATGCAATTATACACATTGGCAATGAAAGCCATTGTTTTAACATTTCGCAATAATTTACGCCGTTATAATCTGTAAATTGTATTCAAGAAAAGGTTGGTTTATTATAACTAAGCTGTTCTAAAACGCTTTCATACACTTAATTCTATCCCACATAACATTTGCAAGGAGGACCATATATCATATTTTATGTTTAATACATGATATTTTAATTAAAACGCATGAACTATGAGTTTTCTCTTTTACTTTTCATATGTAGAGTATGCATGCATGCGGTAATGTAGTCTAAGCGGCTTTCAATTAAACTAAAAAACATTTTTCTTCCGTAAAACGCACTATCCAATATATTTTCACCATTGGGTGCGAAATATATTTTCACCTCATTGCCTATTATCTTACACGAAAACCAACGCTTATGAGCAATAGCTCCACTTTCTAATACAGTTCTTAGGCGCATTAGTTCTTCTTTTAGACACTTGTAACTGAACACATGCACCCTTAAGTTAGATTCTTAAAAAATCCACACGTTTTTTAATCGACTTCCAACTCGATGGGAATTTAATAAACAAGCTCATGACTCATTTCATTGAGCCGTGCTTTCTCAATAACCGATACTGCGCAGGCACCCGTGCAAATACATTTATCACACGACGAGATTTTTGGCTAAATAGTTTTAGAAGATGCGAGGCCGAATTTCTGATCAAATTATGAGATTTTTTTGGAACGATCATGGGCAGTGTCGATTAGTTGCGCGATATTCTTCTGCCACCGTCCGTCTGTTTAATTACTGCAAAATTTTGAATGAGAAAACACATAGTCCTAACTTTTTATATCCTGCACCACTTGCGTTACTATGGTATATTAAGCTTATGAGAATGCATGCAGGACTTCAGATACACCAGCTTCTGACCGTCTTGTTTTCTAGTGTTCAAGCTACAGATCGGAAATATTTCAGATATTGAAAATGGTTCGTACTCTTTTGAACCATTTGTTTCAACCCTGTAATATTTTATTTTGGGAAGTCGTTTCGTGAATAATCGTATAAGCGAAGTGTAGGGTGTTTAATGATAGCACCATTTGCCATTGTAGTGTGTTTGCTTGTTAATTATTACCGTCGTGAGTTAAGTTCAAAAATGGACTAAATAAATCCGTGATCTATGACCCCAACTAGTATAACTTGTAGCCTAGAATTTTAGCTTTTTCTGAAATTTTTCCTAAATAAAATCCCCTCGTCAAGTTCGGAAATCGTGAACTTTTTTTTATAGAAAAGAATTCTTCGGAAATTTTGATTTTTGCAGAAATTTAACCGTAATAAATTAAGAGGAAATATCAACAGCGTGGGCCACGAATTATGATTCTCCTGTAAGAACTTCATGCATATTATTCTCTAATAACGGTACAGAAAAGTTCGGTTGTTTTGATCCTTAAATATATAAATTTCATAATTTTGTTTATGCACTAATTTTTCTATCTAATGTCATTATTAACCATATGAACACTTGTTGATTTCAATACAATACAAAGGCGCCAGACGTATTGGAGCACATCATCATCTGCATTCGTTTTTTTAATTGAAAAAAATGTTATATAGCTTCTTAGACATCGTCAGTCAAAGAGGACGGAAGAAACTCACTTTATATTAATTAACGAAATAATTTATATTTTATTTAGTATTTATTTATAAGCATTAGCTAAATTAATCATAACCGGACATTAGAAGTGATGTATACTGATTTACTTCGCTATCACTTATAGCCACTATTTTCTTTCGATCACCACATTGTTATGTTGTGTCATGTCAATTCATGTTATGTGAGCAGTGTGTAAGTAAGAAACTCAAAACATGTAAATACATCGCACTCGGTAAAAAAACAATTCAAGTGAAAGATGAAGAAAAGTCTATACACACATCTATATATACATATATATATGTATATATAGGTACGTATACACAAAAAATACATGCTTTTAACACAAATAAAACATAATGATACATTCAATTGTGAGTCAATCTGTCTCTCAGTCATGCTAACTCTAAACGGTAAACGGCAACATTCCAATCAACTTCACCCGTCACTCTACTCTTCCCCGCGTAACACATAAGAAACTTATATGTATAAATTGTTCTGTTTTTCTATCTATTTCTCTCTTCTTAATTTCTCTCTTTTCTTTCTTCTCCATTTGGCTCTGTCGCTCTTTTTCCGTTGAGCTAGAGCTCTCACGAAATATTACCATACACTGTTTATAACGAATCTTCGCTACGACGCGACGTTCAAGTAAAGAAAAAGTAGAAAAGAAAATCCGGACCGGCTAAAATCTTGTACATACACATACACAGTCGCACAAGCAGACAAAAACAATATTTAAAGAAATAGAGAAATATTTTATACAAGACTCTCACTTAATAATAAAAGCAGGGAATTTTTTATATGTGTGTAGAATTGTTTACCTCTCTTTTTGCATATACGCGCACACACAGCACATACATAAACACGTGTTAAAAGTAAATTTTTTTAAATAATTTCAAAAAAAATACCCACATCCGTTTCTTGCTTTCTTATTTTCAAATACATGAGTTCAGAGAAGTGTGAAGATTTACTCTCATATCATTTTCCGCGTTTTCACGTTTCCACTAGACAAGTAAAAATTAAAAATAGCTTGTCATCAAAATAAAAATAAATAAAAAAAAAATAACTATATATATTATACTTAACCAACCACACATATATTTAAATGAATGTTTGTATTTAGATATATATTAAAAATATTTGCACTAAGCTGCTAAATTTAGAAAAGCGATCGAAAATATCACTAAAAATAATTTATTCATTCGTTTCCACACATTCACACAATCACATGTGATTAGCAAATAAAATCGACACACGTTCGATTTAATTCGTCCAATCCTTTAAAATAGTTGTAGCATGTATTTTAACATTTATTCGGTATGTTATGTACAATAATCAAGAAAAAAAAAACGTAGTCGGTCAAGATCTTATCATAAATACATATAATTGAAATCGAAGTAATCTTATAGGGAAGTTCGTACATCAGCACCCATAACACAGCAAATGCACGTATGTGAGGCGACGAGATGTTTCCCTTCGAAAGTACGCCAACTTCATGGCAGATATTGACCTAGAATTTGATACAAACACCTTGTATTGGTTTCGAGGCTAACTTACATGCTCAATATTGACAAAATATTTTCTACGGACGGCGTTCATCAATGTTGCTTCGACTTGTGCTTTTACAAATTTACAAAAAAGTGTAAATTTTCCCGCTTACTTCATTCCATAATCTTATTACAGATTAGTCTGTCGCATAACAGCATAAATAAGATTCTCGACTACAAACTCAATGTTCGCGAGCTCACGATCACACTTTCTTGTAGCTACAGCGAGTGCTCAGTCGATCAAGGCATAACATTTACCGATTAGGCAGGCATCTTTTAGACAGTGGCCAGTCTTTACATATGTCCTCATGCCTTTCGAACATTAACGTGCCACTCGTGTAGGAGACATCCCCTGAGTGATTGATCATTGACTATAAAATCAAATCGCTTAGGGAAGAAACAAAATGTGCGGCAGACTACGATGAAAAGCTTTTTTGGAAAGTAATCTGCAGAGGAAAGCGGACATTAAAGCTAAATCATTTGAGCAACTTTGATATCTGCCGACCTAAAATTAACATTCTTTTAAGCTTTTACGGTAAAAAGGAAATCTTTCCCGACCCTCACAAAAGCATAAACCAAATACGAGGCCATATCCGTTAAAAGAGTGCTTTAGAAACAAACATTAAACGCTATGGAAGACTGCGATTTTTTTACTCCCTACATTTTTCATTCTTAGGTGATACGTATAATCATTTTGTCAAAACGTTTGCAATGGCCAGAAGGACGCTTCAGAAACATCACAGCGTACATATTAAAGTATATACGCTATCGACTGCAAATTTGGCCGAAACATTCGAAATTTTTGCACACATGCTGGTACTGAAAATGTCGATGGTAGTGAAAGGTTTTTTTTATCATTACTCATAGCTATAGCAGATATGAGCCATGCATGGACGATGCTGTAGCACCTGTACAAAAATGAAAAAAAAATGACCAAGCCTACACAATATTATAGTGTATCAAAATTTAGGTTTTTTTTCAATACCTTTGTGCCGCGAAGCAACAGGATTAAAAAATTCCATAAAATATATAAATTTTTGGTCAATTTCAAATTTTGCAACTGTGCAGTAATTGCGGTATACATTCTCTCGTCAGCGAGAAAATCTTACCTATTCAAGCAAGATATCTCCCCTAAATTTTCAAAAAACTAATATCTGTTTGACAGACGGTGTAAGTTGACAATTACCCGCCGGATCACAGATAAGCACCGGTTACAAAGAAAGAGTTACTCGATTTATTATTAACAGTGAGCGAAGTATTAATTGGGTGACTTGAAAAAAAAACACAAATTCCAATGATATTCCTTTCGTTTTGAGATATTCCAATATTAATTAGTATCCTTGAACGTTAGAACCCACTTTTTACCTAAGACGTTAATTTCGAGAATTTAATTAGAAAAAGACCACTAACCACATCAAAATTTTTCCTTGCTTGAAAATGGAAATGTACAGCCTTTGCAAAGAATATGGGTATGTAAGCCATTAGTATTTACGAATTTTATATTGCACTTGTCACAGGTTACGCTACAAATCACTCTAAACTGCGTATACGTGTTTGACTGTATAATTGTTGTAACTGTGTTGGTATGTACTATGTGTGTTAATTTTACTTGTATATATATGATATACTGGGAGAGGGGAAATAACTTTACTAGTGCAGACATGACGGAAAATAAAGAAACATATAAAAAAGACAAAAAAAATTCACAATTAAAAGCACAAAATCAAAACAAACAACGAAAACGGCACTGACTTACGATGACGACAACGTTGACGGAGCTTTGTCTTCCTAAGCAGCAGCAACAGCAGCAATCTGTAGCCAGTCAGTCAATTGTATAGAAAAATACACTAAAAACAACCCTCCAGATGACCGTTGACCCCGAAAATATGTGCAAAAGAAACATAAACCAATAATACTCAGACAACAAATACCCAACAGCGGCAACAATAACAAACGTAAAGAGAACACAACAACGAAACGTGGATGGGAAAAACTCATTTCTTTTATAAAGCAAAATCCGAAATTATTATTTATAAAAAAGCGCATGTGCGAGACGTATCACATTTGTTCGGTTGGCCGCGTGTACTCTCTTACATGTGTGTATGTATACATTATATGTGTAAATATATTCAGGACGGCATAAATGAATATCTGTAGTAGATAAATGTGTAGAAACAGTAGTATTTTCGAACTCGCTATTAAGGGCGGAAGCTAACTATATGCACTTACACTCAGGCATTTTAATGTATATATACACATTAGTGCGTGTATATATAAAATAGCGTATTACTTACTATGAATAGCTTTTGCAAAATACGTTCAGACAGACGGTATTTTATGCGCGTACACACTTATGTAAACCTACCGCTTTGCCCCATGAATGAAAATCATTCGGTATTCGGTAGGTTTTTTTTTTTGTTTGTTTTTGATATATATACCTATCGTACGTATGAAATATAAACAAACACATTTTCAATTATTGAGAATTGTAAACAAACATATACGCTTACGCTCAGATGGACGCAATTTTTAGACAGATTGTAATCCATTTATTACATTTTGCTTACGAATTTAACTATGAAAAGCCGAAATCCGGAGAGAGGGAGAAAGAGAGAGAAAGAGAGAGAGAGAGCAAATTATTGCAACGCTATACTGTTCTTTAGTTAGGTATTTAATGATTACGACGACGAGAATAGTGTTGTGATCGTTTTCCTTTGAATTCAAAACAAGAATAAATAAATGAATATCAAAATAAACAACAAGAATGTTATCAATGTATGTGTGTGGTCAACATTTAAATTAAAGAGACATACAAAACCAGCTAGCATGCGAAAAGAATTTTTGCTGTCTCTAAACTTGTCTACACACAACCCGAATATATATACATATATATTTATATATATATATATATATATATATATAATATTTGCTTGAATGCTCAAGTACGAACGGCAGAGTCAAAGCAAAACTAACCGAAACGAAAAAAACAAATGACGATGTGAAGAAGAAAACCAAAAACACTATGCAAGAATAAAAATAACAAAAAGTAGATAATTGTGTAGTACGACTGACTACAAACTCTGGCGTAAGCAAAAGGAGGGAGGAATGGAAATTATTATTAAGAACAGAATGGAGAAATACACATTAAATGACTGGACCTTCATACACAACAGAAGCGTATAAGTATGTATGCATAGAAATATATATATATATATATATAAATATTTATCACTGGCGCTCACTTTTTGTAGAAAAACAACAAAACAAATGTATAACTGCTTGTTAACTGTGTGATTGCTTCAGTGCGTATAAAAAAATGAATGACGCATTTTTAAATAAATTTCTGTTTGTTTCGTATACATTTTCCAATGAATCGAAATGAAAACAGATTTTAATCCGTTAGATGTTCATCCCACTACCGTATAGAATAGTTTTGAACTCCTACACTTTCTCTGTGTATATATAGAAATTCTATATTCTTTGAAAAGAGGATTTAAAAATTTTACATATATACAAATTTTATATAGATACCAATAAACAGATTTTTTTTTTGCTCTAAAAAAAGGGCAGGTCGCTCTATGCGGCACCATTTCACAATATTTTACTCATAGTCATATTCATTCATTCATTCATCGATTTACCCAAAACGTTGCACGTATATGCGTTTAATGTATTATTTGCTTTATTTACTACACTATAGAAAAATTTTTATTATCTACGCACTACGTTTTTGAAAAAGTTTTTCTGACCAATATATACAAACTTGAATACGCACTTCGATCTAAACTTCAATACGTTTTAATTATTTTATTACTTTTTTCCCTTGTTTTTGTTTGACGGCACAATTATATTAAATTCGTTTCACAATTCACTGCTTAAGCTGCTTACATTTTTTTAAAAAGAAAACTGTTTATTTAATTTTAATTTTTTTTTTCTTTAATATTGCTTTACATGAAGCAAATGTTTTCATGCATGCAATTCAATCCCTTTTTGACGTCTGCTGCGTGTCGTATAATAACATGAAGGCAAAAGCAAAACGTCTGCTCTGGCTGGCTGGCTAGCCATAGAAAATAGTAATATAAAAAAAGCAGCTAACAATCGTAAACTTTTCTTATTGCAGCTTAAAATAAATTATATATATGTATTAAATGATTTTTCCTTTCTTTTTTTTTACTATTTATTCTTGCATGCGATATCTAATGCCGCAAAACCGCTCTTGTGAATTTTTAATAATGTATTACAACCGTCTATTTTGGCTGCGTTTTTATTGGTGCTTTTTAACATATTTTTTTATTCGTTTTTAACATATTTTTTCTCTCCTTATCTATTTATGCCTCCCTTCATCATTATCGTTGTTGTTGTTATTATTATTCTCTGTTGCGCAGCAGTAACTTATAGACTCTCTCTCTATACCTCTTTAGATTGTTTAGGCAAACACACGCACATACACATTTTCTAACTTAAAGTAAAAACGTATACACACAGACGCACGCAATCTCCCTCTCTTTCTTTTATTATAATCGTATTAACAACAAAACAACATAAAAAAATAAACAATTTTAATACGAACACAACGCTACACTACTCCTAGCAGGTGTGATTAAGCATGATTTGCATAAAAAAGTGTAATTTATAGTATAGTGTGTGCAACGATTTGTTAAAGCTTAAAAAAAATGACCGTACATTCAGGTTTCCTTAAATGTACCCAAAGCAAATTAATTGTTTACAATCTATTCTTAAATTATTTATTCTCATTGATTTATGCTTGCTTGGTAGGGTGCAGACGTTCCATATTTTACTTAGTGTATAACGTACGTAAAGAAGGCGCATATTTGTTATTTTCATTTCTGCTTTGATATCACTTTTGTTTTGAATAAAATTCTTGCTGTTGCGCTCTCACGCTTTCTGTTTCCATTTCGGATTCCTTATTATGTATGTAAACATGTATAAATGTATACATACATAGATAGATAGATAGTTCGCATAATTTGCTGCGTAGTATTTTTTTTTTCTTTACTTAACTACATATTTATTTATTCATTTTGTAAATAATTTTCAAAACAGATATCTTTTACATTGGTCGAAGAAGTACTTTGCAAATAATTATAAAGAGGCCGAAAGAAAAACAACAACAATAATTATACTACACATATATTATAGATGTATTATTATTATTATTATTACGCATATGTAAATAAGAATTTGATTTCATCAGAAGTTTATGGTGATGTATGCGTATCTTAGCTTTTCTTGATAGAAAAATAGATTTTCAATGTTGGCGACGTTGTCGTTACTGTTGTTGTTGTCTCAAACACGCATACATTAGTAAGGAATGTGCAGTAAACAATAGATTTCTATTCACTTTAACCAAATGTTTGGATTCTTTTTTTGGGTTTTGTTATTTTATTTATTTGTCCATAAAACGCGCGCACACAGGAGCATATTTTTCTTTTTTATTTCTTTAATACGTTGCTACAATCACGTAGTGTCGTTGTAAGCAAAAATTACATCTTTGCTTAGGAATTTGCTTATTGTAAAGAATTTATTTAATATATCCGGTTGAGTGATCAGTCAGCACACTTAGTAGAATTCTTTGAAATTCCTATGATTTCAATTTTTCCTCCTTTTTATCATTTCAATAAAAAGGAAAGCGGCTTCCATTAATAATGAAATTCTTTCTAACTGGGGTAAACGTTTTTTTTAAGAACCTTTTTCTCTACTTATTCATGACGGCAGCGAAACGATAACAAATTTTAATAAAACTTGAACACTATTACTTTGCTTTACTACGTAACTACACCTATATCCGTCCACGTCCGTACGGTTATTTATATATGTGTATGATAGGCTAAACCGCGTTAACCATGACTGTTATAAAATCATATATACATAGGCACATAGATGAAAAAAATATCATTCACTTTCCTTTTCAAAATCAGATTTTTTTTCTTTAATTCAGTAAAAAAGGCGATCGAAAACATTAAAAATACACCTCTTTTGATGTCATGAAAATAAATGCGTTATTGTTGCTTTTTTCTAGGAGTCTACGCTTCTTTTATATGTTTATTTCAGCACTGTATACACGCAAGCTTACATATTTGCACATGTATGAAAATGGCATGCTGTGGTTAAGTAAATATTTTGTATTTGTTTTTTTCCAAAAAAAAAAAGAAACGCTACTTTATTTTAGACGCTTTAACATTTAACATGAGCAAATCATTAGCAAATTTACTAACTTTCTCAAAGAGAAAAAAGCGACATAATATAGACAAATATGACAATATAGCGACATTAACCGTGTGTTATTTTTGGAGTAAAGAAATACGAACACGGCACCGACCGACGCTTACACATCTTTATCATTCAAAATTCAGAAAAAAACTAATACAAAAAAAGATATGGAAACGTTCCTCTCAGAGCAAACAAAATGTTACAATAACAAATTTTTGTGGGATCCAATACTGCCAAGTATCTAATAAATTGCTCTCAGAGCAACAAAATTTCACAATAACAAAATAGTACGGGATCCAATATTGTCTCCTAATGGTGCCAAGTAATCAACAAAAATGTCTCCTAGCAAACAGAATTTTACAGTAACAAGGTTAGCAATCCCCAAGTGGTGCCAAATAAGCAAAGAAATCACCTCTCAAAAAACGACTGATTTGGGAACGACCTGAATTTTAGTCGCACCCTGAATTATTCTCAATTTATTTATTTATTTATTCTCACTATGTAAACAATTCATTTGATTGCGCAATACCATAATATAATCAGCTGTAATTTGAGGAACATTTTCGGATTAAAATTGTAAAATTGCGTTTGTGGTTAAAAGATGGGAAAATTGAAACGATATTAATAGAAATAAAAACTAGTGAAAATTGCCCAAAATCTCGGGAAGAAAAATGTTTCGTAGTGGAGTTGGTTTGGTGGGGCTTGGAATAAACGAAACCGTTTATCGTTGGAACATCTAAAATATTTATATAATATTTTAGAAAAAAATACAACGGTATCCGAGAGTAATCGTTAAGAAGTATAGCAGAAATTTTAATATGGGGTGATCAACACGACACTTCGGTTTTCGAGTAAACAGCGCTTTATAACTATGTATTAATTATTTTCCTTTTTCCAGATTTTTCCTAGAGAAAATTATAGTTTTCGCATATAATACGTCAAAAAAGCGGAGGTTGCAGTTTTGTATGTGTTCAATTATTACAAACATTGAATATTCTCTTCGGAAATATACGTAATGAAATTTCATTATGCATTAGTTAAACATTATAATAATTATTGATAGCTTCTTATTTTATTCTTAGATTATTTATTATTATTTGTTAAGTAATAATCATGTAAAATCAATCAATAATCGTGCATAAATTTGACTTTTCTTTTTTTGTCTTTTCCGTTGATGGAAAAAGTTCGCCACCTAGAGGAAAATAATTATCTAATCTAGACAACAATTTTGAAAACCTTAGAAGATACCAATTCACCCGAAGATGAACCCGCACATAATTTTACATTTTTTACATTATTTAATTTATATTTCAAATTAATAATAACTAAAACTAAATGCTAAATCTCATATACTAACTATTAACAGACAAATAAGAGGGGCTATGTTGGAAGAATTGCAGAAATGGTGAGAAAAGCCAAATTTTCTCTTTTGGCAGTAATCTGTCAAATTGTAAACCTTTCAAATTCCTAATTGACTTCTTAATTTGTTCTATTGCAAATGCGTTGCCATTTCTAAGATCGTAAAAATTTAATACAAAAAACGCTATAACACATTTGTAGCTTAACAACACTAATGAAAAGGAACAAAAACAAAAAGCGTTACTTAACGGCAATTTTCATTGCTATTGTTCATTTTCGCGATCTCCATTTGTGAGTTTTGGTCTGCTCGAAAAGACTGCACAAAAAATGTTATTTTCTAAGAAACAAGGGGAAAAAATCCGTCATAGTCATGTGAAATTATTTAAAATGTGATAAAAACTAATGGGATTACTGAAACAGGAACAGCAGCTCTTGTAGGCGCGATGTTCAGTTACGATGGTGATGATATGCAGAAATTATGTGAGCCCGAAAAAACAGAAACGTTCGAAGACAGTTCTAGATTGCCTCTCGGCAAATTTAAGATATGTATTAGCGTGAAGGCAGTAAGTATACATGCATATGCATTAGGTTTCACATAGGAGCGCAGATATATTAGACGAACAGAAGGATTTGTGAAGGAATATAGTCACTATTTGATTGAGATCATTTATATGTTCAAATTTCATTACCTTTCTATATAATATATAAGTTATAAAATTTAGACAAATATTCTACTTCTATTATCCACTTTCTTTACAGCAGACCTACTCTACCATGACAATGTATGACTACAGCTCTTCTACACCAGAGGATGTACTGTCACAATATTTATAATTCGTCCAGTATCAACGGATGGAACTAAGAGCGAAGAGAAATCCTCTTTTAAACATGGATAAGATATTGTCACCAAGGAGAATGTGGAACCAGTAATGTTCGGATTTTTGGTTGTATCTAGCTTAATATACCGAGAAGCAGAACAAAGACATGAGCAAGATCTAAGTTTAATATACCCGGTACCGCAAGTGGTGAAGGGTATAAAAAACACTTCCAGAGAGCAATTGGCACACTCGAGTTTGACATTGAAGCGGAATGCGCTAAAACATGTCGACAGATAACATAAGATGATTGCTTCTTCTGTGCGATAAGACTTAGCCACACATCCCAAAAACGTTAAAAACACTGAAATAAATTGAACTGGACTGTGTGCTGCTTTGCTTCTTACATCTATCTATACGTGGACTTATGAAATTAACGGAAAAAAGAAATTCTTTCATGCATAGCCTCAAATGATGATTTGTTCGTTTCACACGGAATTCATAGGCTATCAGAAAAATACGCTTTGGAAAAATGCAGTTGCAATGGGAACATGTCATATGCATACCTCATTAGGATTGTGGTTTTACCTTATGATGTTTTAAAACTGTAAACTTTCATCATAGACTATTTGAATTGTTAAAATTCGGCGAAGATCCGAGCGTTGAAGAGGATATGCTCCGTATTATTAATCGCATTTTGGAAAATGATTGTAGAATTATGGTTACGGATGACCAAAATGCGATAAGAGCCGTTGTTGACCATTCATGTGCATGTTTACGGGGAAACGAGCTCAAATCTTAATATAATTGAAAGTTCATTTGCCATCGTTTAAGACTATAAAACGAGTAACCAGAAAGTAGCATTACTTTTTAATGTGTTAGGTGTTGGGCAGTTTCGAATGATGGCCACGATGGAGAAAGTTTATTGTCGGAAAAGAACAACGGTAGACAAGAAAATTGAAAAAGGTAATTTGGTAAACAATTTCTTATATTTTCCTGAATTGCAAAAAAATAAAACCGTATATTCAAACTTTTTAATATTTAATTCAAATTTTGATAGATTGAATCAATATGGTCACCACACGTTCAAAATATTACACATTCCAAAAGCCGAATCACGTTATCGATCGTATTATAATAATAGTTCGTTTTTTGCCATTTTTTTCCGACATAAAACGTAACGCCTCTGAATGCGTAGAAAAAGCCGATTCATCAGCCTCGATTAGTGACTTTTTCAAGCACACAATGAAAACACAACCCAAATCTGATCTGATATATTTATTCGCTCTGACTCAAAATCAAATGTTAAATTATCGCAAATCCGTTCGATGCAAGAGTTGGAGGCTGAATTGCGTCAAAACTGTACCAAGGGAAACAGTATTAATAACGATGCAA